GAGCCTGGTTCTGCTGGAGGTTTCTTCCTGTTAAAAGGGAGTTTTTCCTTCCCACTGTCGCCAAAGTGCTGCTCATAGGGTTCATATGATTGTTGGGTTTTTCTCTGTATGTATGAAGCGCCTTGAGGCGACTTTTGTTGTGATTTGGCGCTATATAAATAAAATTGAATTGAATTGAAACCATTCATCACGCTCAGCTGGGCTCAGGAAAAGACCTAATCCAACTCCCGCGTGTGGACAAAGACGTGACACGTGGTGGTGACGTCAGAGTGTGAACGTCATCCAGTGATGGCGTCACGAAGACGTCAGAACTGAAACTTTAAAGATGTTAAGCAGCACATGTTACACTGGGTGACATAATGACCCCCACAGCACTGCTGTGAGGCTCGTCAGAGAAAACAAAGCCTGGCGATGTGCAAACATGACCCGCGAGTACCGGCCGCGCTGAGGACGACACACGGACTAACCTGCACTCGTGTTTTGGAATCCCAGCACCGAGTGGTAGAAAACCAGCAGATATGTGAACCACATGGAGGCACACAGGTCGTTGAGAAAGTGCCCCACCGCGTAGCTGAGCCTCTTCAGCAGAGGGAGAGAACCGTCCGTGTCCGACATCCCGGCTGGAGGAAGACCAGAGCCCAGCTTACACGAGAGGAGCTTCGGCTAGCTTTTTCCACGTCTGGGGGAAGGAGGCTGAATGTCGACAGCCCCGTTTCGGTTCCCCTTTTTACGACTGATCTCCTTTATACAGTTTTACCATCCGGTTTAGTAAGAGCATGTGTCGCAACTTAACCAGCTAGTTAGTCCCTTTAATTCAGGTGCCAGTTTCCTCTTGAAATCAGGTGACATGCAGCGATGTGGCCAAGCCGGGAGGAGCGTCTGAGAGGAAGGAAAACCGAAACAGAAGCGCATCAGTGGGCGAAGGGGAATTTCACCGCCGCACAGCTCCACTTACATCACAACAGGCAGCGAATGAAAAGTCACCCCGGGACATGTTACGGTACAAAGACCGGAGACCGTGAACATGTAACCGGTAAATACAGAAGCGCAGCTAACCGGCTACAAACCTGCACACAAAACACAATCAGATGTAAACAAGAGCGGCGAAGATGACGTAGTAGAAACTGCCCAATGGGGAAGCCGTCTTGCTCTTTTCAGCCAATAGCCGGAGCCCGCAGAGTTACCTTGTTCACGTGACGGCACACTTCAGACCTCGTGATGTTAGCGCTTGATTCAGAGCGCAGAGACACGACGATCAAAGGCAGTGATTATTTTAAACAAAAGTACAGCGCGACGAGGCAGCTTGGAAACGTGGTTGAACCAACCAGAGCAGTTTCTCCATGACACAGTCAAGCTGTACAACAACACTGCTTGATCCATCCAAGCCCGAACTCCGGACATTTATCTGCACGGTTACTTTGAGCAGCTGCAAAAATAACTTCTTATTTCATCAAACTTTGAGTCTTTGCTGTCGCAGGGCCCCAGTGTCCTGGTGCAAAGACACGTTAATTAGGGAAGTTACTAAAGTTCATCCGTCAGAGCTGCAGATACATCAGCTGTTAGGATCAATGCCAGCCACACTTCCTCTTCCTTCTGAGCCTGACATTAACTGCCCTGCTGAAGCCTTCTTCAGAAATCCCAGAAGTGTAAATTCAACAACAATGACCGACCCGCTGAGTGGGCCACAGCTGTGCCCGCTCACCTGGGCTGTAACATTTGCATGTGTTAAATGGTAGTTTCCATTAGCCATTAATGGAGGACACCAGGGAACTAGGTCACCTCAGGATGAATTACTGTAAGCTGGTACTTTACTCGCACCATCTTCAGGTACTTGTTAAATACGGTGCTTTATTACTAGAAACAGCCACACAGCTGAACTTTTTGCTTTGTCAGGAAATGTAAGCATGGTAACAGGTAACCAGGATGGACTTTGCACACATTACCAGCCCACTGCACCCTGTTCACACCACTTTCACAGCTTCCATGCCCGCCTCAGTCTAAACAGAGTCTAACGAATGGTTGACAAATCAGTTCAGTTCATGCATTCTCATGTCAGGACTGTCAAAGCACAGGCAGCTTGTACTGCATGTGTGTTTATGAATACAAAGAAATCTATTGTGCTGTTACCGTAGTGACTGCACTTGTGTTTTTACTTCCTTATTAAAACTATTTTGACTCCTTGTGTACATGGAGCTGATAAAAGCATCACATAAAGCTGAGGGAAGAGCTGCTGAACACGGTCAATGATGCCAACATGTAGCAGCCCCAGCAGAGTCTGTAGAACAGAGCAGAACATGACAGGCGTGTTCTGGGTCTAGTCCTCAACATTTCCCAGTAGAGGCTGGATGTAAGGACTGGACTCTGGGCTGCCAGCACGGTTTGTGAGAGGTAGAAACACATGAATGGACGGATTACAGCCTGAATGAAGCTCAGCTTTAAAGTTGTTTGGTTGTTTTTTAATGGAGTTATCTGACGTCCCATCCCCCAACCAAAAAAGAAAAAGGGGAAAGAAAAAAAAGAAAATTAAAAGTTATTTAGGAAAAAACATTTTGAGGAACACACTAGAAACTACAAAACACAAAGTTTGTGAACAACTGAAATCATGGGAAAGCAGGATGAAAACAGTCTTTTCTGTTTTTAGTTACAAATTAAAACAGGAAACAAAGCATCGATTTTACATAAACTTCTTTTAAACTTTTGATTCTGGTGGTCGTGGGTTTTTCCTCTGAAAGGGATTCAGGAATTCACCGAGCCTGGTCCATTTCAGGAAATAGTCCAGTCCACTCACAGTGCTCTTCCTTTGACCCTAAGGAATAAAAACTTGAATGACTGCGCGAGCTGCATCTCTTTGTCCATGAAATCGATTTGCAATGAGCTCCAGAAAAGTGTGCAGTGGGTGTGTTGGGTGTGCACGTGTGACTCATTGCACGCTTGTATTTGGAGTCCTCGCTCATATATCCTCACAAACACACTCGTCTCTCCTCTGAACCGCTCAGTAACGGGAAAGGGGGAAAGTGAGAAGCCAGTCGGCCAGGAAAGCAGCTGAATCCAGTCGCCAACTTGTTTTTCAGTCCATCAGCTGTAGTCTTACGGCCACATGTTTCCCTGCAGCAGTCTGTGCTGCTCTGGTTTCACTTCAGTCTTTGGCCATAAATACACAAGGGGATCGTTGCTGGTAGAGGCAGCAAACGCTCTCTTCACTGCTCGGTCCAGACCAGTAGAAACCAGTATACCAGCTAACACCCGTTAGCAGAGGAGAGGAAGAGGAGAGGGGTGAGAGAAAGAAACAAAAAGAACAGATGTGAAGAGGAGAGCCACAGGTTCCCTTGTTTGTCTTCATTTGTGTCTCTGGAGAGCTTTCCTCTTCCTCCTCTTGAAGAAACAGCAGCACCTGCAACACACAAGCTGCTGTTAACAGTCTGTCATTTACATGTTCTGTGTATCTGTGCACAGCAGCAGCCACGGCGATGCTGCCACACCGCACCACATGCTGCATAGCCGAGCATGTGGTGCACGCATGTGGTGCACGCATGTGGTGCACGCATGTGGTGCACGCATGTGGTGCACGCATGTGGTGCATGCACGCTGTCACCGATCCCCTTCCTTTGTTCTGCTGGGGATTTAAAACGCTGCCCTGCTGTGGCAGCGTTTTAAGACTTCCTACAGAGGGCGATACTGCAGCGGGCACAAATAAAATGGTGTGCAGCACCCAAAAGGCACCCAGTAGCTCCTGCAGTGAAAGAGGCCTATGACAGAGATTGAAAATGTGACGTCATTTCTGGGGTAAAACCGCAAAGGATTGTAGGTACGAGTGGCAAGTGGTACTAGTGCACGCAGGCTTTCATATGAAAACAGTCACACAGTGATAAAAAGAAACAAAGAATGGCAAGAAGCTGTTGTATTATTAACTGCAATAGTCACATGACAGCCAGGGGAAGCCGACGGGTAAAGAGATCGTTTTTTATCGGATTCCATCGTGGAAGAGAAATTGTTCAAGTCATGTTTCCGAAGTACCAAAGAGGCGACGGATGGCCTGCAGCCATTCGAAGACCAAATATAACGTCCCAGAACACTGCAGCTCACAGGTTAGTCTGCTCCAAGCATATACACATTTTTTGTTGATGTAGGTTACAAATAAATCTTATATTGATTTGAATTGAATTCGTTGCTTTGCTGCTTTGTTCACTGTGGTTTTGCGGACTAATGTTTGTTGTGTTTTGTAGGAAAACCAGCCTACAAAATGCTGGGATGTGATCCAGACTGGGCCCCTCCATCAGCCTGGGTCAGACCGAGTTTAAAGCTGCTAACACAGCCAGATTTGATCGGTGAAGAGAGAGCGCGAGATCAAAACAGCCACGAAACGTCTGCATACATGTGCCCAAGTGTTGTATTGAAGCAATCAAGTGATGAATAACTGTTTCAGTATGTTGTGTTGCATTGTTGATTTGTTTTTCACCGAAGCAGCTAATAAAGCTGATGGATTTTTACAACGTTGCCTCTTTCCTGTAAGATTCTGTAACAGAACGAAACAATAATGCCAGTTATAAATAAAGACAACAAATTGAATGAATTACGAAACACTCGTTTTATTTCTACTAGATCTGAAAATGTTGTGTAACACTACAACCTGAAAGGACAAATACATGGTGTTGGTCTGTAACAGCAGCTGTGAGATGGAATC